CCGAAACGTCAGCAATTGTGTTCTAATAAATTCTATATTAACAACCTCGTGTCTGCTTATTGATGAAAAACATTGTATTAGCTCCTTAAATCTATTAAAAGTAGGCTCTTTCATGACCATGTGACCCTTTTTGCATCATTGATCAAGCGAAGACGATTACACAATGTATGTGGACTACAAGAGGTTAGCCACCGAGTACCAACGAAATCCGAATAATACCCGCCTATCTAAGAAGCGAACAGGACAGTATGTTCAAGTTGTAGAAGTGCGCGACAAAGGAAAACATTTGCGCTCATTTTTTGGAGGACCGCCTTTGGAGGAGAATAGCGGGTGGCCTAGTGTTGGCTTACAACTCTGCTAGGTCTAATGCTAGAGTAAGACTCTGGAGAAAATTCGAAGACTTTCCGAGTAAATCGCTTAACGCAGCTTCAAGAAAGAATAGAAATACCGTTTACAAAGATCAAACGACTCACATTAGGAGAAACGGTGTGCCAGGAAATTCAAGACATAACGTGTTTGTAGGCATAACTCTCTAACGGGGAGTGCTCACTATTAAAACTGGGCCTAAGTTTTTCACCATCTGAGCCAATTTCTATGCTATCCTTGCGTAGGGTCGCATGTAACTTTGCACAAACTGCAAGAGGGGCTCCGAACGAAGCTAGAGTTTAAGTACTAAACAGAGGTGAACAACAGAAAGTTAGGACACTACCGCCGTTTCCCCAGCCGTTCTTCAGTCTCCAAGACCCCAACGATGACGCTGATATCAATTTTCAGATCTTTACGGACGAAACCTTCATTCCTTAATCACTCGCGCGAAGGAATTTCGCTCCAGCCTCACAGAAGTGCAAATATGTGGTATGGAGGAGATACGAGAGATGAGAAGGTTAAAAAGCGTTAGGCCATCGTGACCGACAGGAGTGGAGAATTCGTAGTAATTTCTCATCAGTTAACTGTTTAGATAACCAAAAAGCACCATGAAGGTGCTGCCCTTTGTTGCCCATTATCAGAAGAGGAATTAAAAGATCAATATTGAAAACCGAAAAACGGAGGGGTCAAGGTGGCGGAAGCCGCTGGTTGTCTCTACTCAAAGTTTAATTGCCAACACGTCCAGTCTTTTACTTACTTATCATATCTACTGATGATCTAGCACTTACCCATCCACCATTATTCAAGGTTAGACTCATCGTTAATTGTGAAGATGGAGGAACGGATAAAATAACATCGTTTTTAACCCTAACACTTAGTCAACTGTTAAAGAACATTGCAGCTAATTTTACGAACACCTAGACGTTCCCGTGTCGTCTACGTGTCTTCCTAACAGCGCATACGTGATGGAGTCCTTCGACGTTACCGCCCTTTATACAAAACGTTTGTGGTGACTCCGCTATGCAAGCCATCCTTTAACTCATTATACAACACTAAGAAACAACAAGCATGCATGTTTTGACGATTCAGCAGTTGATGGCTCTTGGAGGAGTGTCTGTATCGCTCAATCTTCAGATGGTCCGGGAAGTAGCACAAATGAGAGCATTGGCAATGGAATAGTGACTAGCCCCAAGCCTTGGCAAGTGTGCGAGAACGAATAAATTGACAAAACGGGCTCAGTCTAGTCAGACCACTCTGCGTCCCTACAAAAGAACACTTGGGCGCTAAACTTAAAATTAAACCAAATGCGCCACTATACGCGATTAGAAGACAAAGACATAACGGGAAAGATTTTGAAATAGAAGTTACATCCTAGCACAGGAATCGCAGGAATCGAAAACATTAGCGCACAAAACTCTCGAAGCACTTTAGATAACTGCAGGGAGAAACGTATCATAACGACGCGAGATGTCGGACACTATTTAGGATTGTTATTTTAATGAGAGAGGCACATTACGCTGCCATGTGAAATCTATGAATCTCCACGTGAAATGACCAATAGAAAGCGATGAGTGTTCAAAGAATACATCATCCTTTCAATGCGATTGAAATCTTGGTTTAGTACTCTATCTGCTTGGTTGTGGAGATGTTTGTCTGGTTAGATAACAGACAACTTGACCTTTGCAGACTCTGAGGAAAGTGAAATGCGTCCAAACGTCAGCTTTTCGGTCAATAAAGAATAAAATAACACATCGTGTTCGCTCATGAAGAATATAGTGAACTACTCAGATATATTTTAATAAAGTGCGAAGGTCTGAATTACTTGTGGAAATCGTATACCAAACAGCATGCTGTTGATGATGTTGGCAACGCAGACGGTGATCGCATTCTGCATCGACACACGAACGCCGCGATGTTGTCGAAGGTGGACGGCGAACGCGTTCACCTGCAATGATTCTTACTCGCTCCTCATCCCTTTTTTTCGTTTCTATAATTTCGCCGAAGCTTTTACAACTTAAATTCATAGTTGTTTATAGGTATCAAACAAGGTTTCAGCTCATATTCATTGTTCTAGTGATAAACTAGAACACTGATAATAAACTGCCATCGCACCTTCATGACAATCATACCCTTTCACCACTAAATGAGACCAGCGTTGTGACTATTATTCTTTATTTTACTGCTCTTTAACAATACGTGAGGAGCGCGTGTGGCGCAGTGGTCGGAGGCCCCTTGCAATGCACGCATGGGACCGATCCTCACGCTCGTAGATCACCAAGCCTTCCATCCCTGATGGGTCGGAAAATTGGTACCAGACCTGTCTAAGAGGATAACAGCACTGCCTCGGTACATAGGTAGGCCACCGCGAGCCATTGTAAAGGCCAGATATTCATTCTATCACCTCCAGCGATGCTTAAATTAGATGAAGTCAAATACATGGCGCATCCCTCAGGGATTGATCAGCGCTGAGTGCTTTATCCTTTACCCTTTTTAACAGTACGTGAGGTGTTTAGATTCAACAGAAGTCAATGGTGAACATGACTGAATACATTTGTAATGTGGTTGAACTAACTCAACTGTGCGCATCCTTCAATGTGGTGATATTTGTGGATAAAGAGGAATTTTCTTAATGTGCTTGGACAAGAGAGGGTCATAAGGCACAGAAAGACTTCTACAGATTTCTCGCCAAAGACTGCAAGCCTAAGAGAAAACAGTGAATATAAAATAGGAAATTTTGAGTGGAAAACTGGCATGCGAATGGCGACCGTTATGTTAAGCATCCATTAACAGCATGCCTGTTTCACGGAGATTCCTTTTTTTTCTTTCGAAAAAAAATTGTCACCTGATATAGAAGTTTGCTAGTGGTATAATTCTTACGGAGATCAATCATATTCTCACAAACAGAAGACGAACTGTTGACACTTCGCTTGTCCCATTACCTTGTGCTGGATCCGATCACTGCTTTGTGTGTGGAGATTTACACACAAGTTGGGAAAAATTTTCATTATCGCCGAAGAAGATAAGAACAGCTCGTGTGTGATAGAAACGGAAGAGCCGCCTCCTTACATGAGTGGCAGATCAAAGAAGAGCCGACTGATTGTGCCGATTTACCCCACAGTTCTTCAGCAGGAAAGTAACAACTGTGTTTTCACTACCATGAAGCAGTTGTTAGATAACAAAAGAAAAAATCGGCTCTTCTCTCTTGACTCAGCAAAAGTGCGAACAAAATCACTTGATCAATGCCGAGGTTAGTAGAAAGTCGGTCGTGGCAGTTACTAAAAGAAAAACTGTAAAACTGGAAAAAAACTAAACTAAGAAACAAAAAAACTGCTTATGACAGTCAAGAAAATACCAATTTAAAGAAAACCTAAAGGTTTTCATTGATGCTGAATGATACGATTCACCCCACCACGCACAGCTATGCAATGTTGGTAGGCAAAAAGAAACTTTACTTCATTCTTCTTCTTTTCTCAACTTCTTCGTCAATGTAGGAGCACTTCGGTGAACAATCCACATTGGACTTCTATCGTTAATATTCAGGTCCCACTTTAGACGATTAAGAGAGGCACTATTTTAGGACCTCTGTGAAATCACAGAGACCTTCCTTAAACTGGAATTGAAGAACACGACTATGTTGTTGAAGATATATTATCATATGAGTATTATGTTATCATACGGATATATGGTAAAATGCCTTCAGAAACGAAGAATTACCACCGGAGAGCGTCGAACACGCTCGTGCCAGATGGCTGAGCAGAAGGCTCGTAACTATCACAGGATTAGCCTTCTTGAAGAGTTTAAACAGACTAAAGTTCTCAACAAACACCATACGAAAATTATTCCACCGTAAAAATCGAGAATTCTGCACAAGGCTAAACTAGTTGAGCTGCATCATTCTCACATGGGTCTTACTGCATGAACCACATACTAATCGATGTTTGGGTCATACAAGAATGCAGGAATACAATCACATCCTTGTTACAGCCATTTTAATTACGAAGAGTGTTCAACAGCGTCGAAATGAATGTTGTTCATCTGCACTCAAGCAGCAGAGCAAAGCTACTTCAACAGCCTCTTCTGAAGGCTCCTAGAACTCTATTAAGAATGAATTATTTCTTTGCCAACCCTTTTTAACTTGCACTGGGAAATGGTCCTAAAAGTGACACCATCTCTTCAAAGTTCTCACTCTAAGTTGCAGTGAATGATAAAATAGCCGAAAGTAACTCATAGAAAAGGAAGCCACGTCTAAACTAAATGATTTAAATCAGCCATTTTTGAGATAGAGTCGCAAAGATGGTGAGATGTTTGCAGAACTCGGACCATAGGCCAGATTCGAACCAACGATTACCCCTTTCGGAACCCATGTGTTACCTCCTGCACCTCTGAAGCTCTTCTTTTCTTTCCTGCTAGCCAATTTTCACCCTAACGGTACCTTGGCAATCACCCGTTAATGGGAATGGAGTTTTGCAAACATCTCAGCATCATTAGGGCTGTCTCCACATAACATCTTGCCATGGTAAAATAATAGGCTATACGTTGTGATTTTAACATTTTATGTCTTAACTACAGCAAGTTCTTCTTTTGTAAAATCTACAAAGAGCACGATGGAAATATATCATCATATTTTTTACAATTTGCAACGCTTCATGAATTTGCGTGTCACCCTTGCGCGACCAATATCAGGACACATCGCCTTCCTGGTATAAAACTATTCGCTTGGTGACAAAGTTCTCTCTGATCCGCAAGGGCGACAACTGCATGTGGTGGTGATGACCTGGAACAGACTTTGGCTAAGCTGACCTCGGGACTCCAGGTAACCATAATGGCTAAACCAGCAATTCTCCGAAGAATGGAGATTGTGCTGGGACTAGCACAACCAGTGAGGACGGGCCATCCAAATATCCAGGTATCCAAGTAAGTACTTTTTACAACTCTAAGTTATTCTCTTACAGAAGCTCCAAAAAGTTCCAATAAATGGAGAATGTGAGCATTTCCAATGTATTAACTTCTTATACTGATCATGAACTCAGTTATAATCATGAAATAGGAATTAAAGCAAGGTTGAATGACCAAGTGAAAGACTCTATCGAAACCAGGCACTATCCTATCCATTAACTCATTTCTGAAAGCAGTAATGAATTACAGAAGACTACCATGCCTTAATGTGTAATCATTCCAATACTTAGTAGCCATTCTAGGGATATAAAGCTTTTTCGATCACCTCACCGCTTCTCTAAACCTTTTCTTGTAAGTTAATCAAATTTTGATAAGCAGAATAGGAGGTAAAGCTCTTAGCTTCAATCAGTCCCTGAGAAATGAGTCGTGTATTTGACTTCACTAAGCATCGTTGGAAGTGAATAAGTGCATAACTGGCTCAAATGACATTCGGTGGCCTACGGATGTATCAATTCAGTGATGCTGTCCTCCTAGGCAAGTCTAATACCTATTTGCCGGTCTAGGAATGGATGGAGGGCTTGATGAGTCCAAGCTGCAGAATCAAGCCAGCGATCGATCCATTCTGTATTGCAGGGCACCTGTAACCACTGCGCCTGCTTCCAAATCCAGCCATTACGTTTTTGCTTATAGTAACGTTCATAACAGTCATGCATAGCTCAATGTTTTCGGATAACTGAAACAACATTCCTGAAAGGATATCTCTACTTACATTCATCTATTGCTGCATTTATTTTTCTCATCACCTTCATCACTTCATTCTAGTTGAAATTCAACAGTTAAGAGACAGATTTAACTCGAACCAAACAAAAAAATCTGTATATGCAACAGGTGTGAAAAGAATTAACGGCACCTTTGGTCAAGTCGCTTTGGGTGGGTTGGACGATATCAGGTGAAAACCTCTCAAAGACCGCTTTGAAAATAATTGTTTCAAAATGAATCCGAAGATTAAACTATCTCAAATGGACCATAAAAGGCATAAAACTGTAAAAAGTTTTTGTTGTAGTTCAAAGCAATCAAAATTCAACATTCTCAACATACTTTGTGGACAACAAAGCATGTAATTTTAACTACTATGAACGAGTAGCATCTCGTTTCAAACAGAAGACTAGTGTTATGAAAGACGGGAAAGTTTCCTAAACCTCTTTTGGAACTGCTTCATTTACGGTGCAAGAGCACATATATAGTAAGTCAATTCAAATCAAGAGGCGAGTAACGCAGTGGTAGTAGTGCCGTTCATCGCGATCACGGTGCTGGTTCGACCCAACTCCCAGGCCGTCCAACGCTCTCATTCCTCCAGAGTGGAGAAATTACTGCCAGTTTTGTCTGGGCAATGTTCAACTCTTTTCAGTACAAATGGAAATGCTCTATCCGGGATACCTCAGGACTCTAAGAAGAATCGAATCGACGGCTACTCAACGACATTAGTGACGAAAAGGAAACGCTCGAGCAGCAGTGAAACTCAAGCGCAAAAAGTTGTAAAATCTTCGCTGGTAACCGAAACAGTTCATGTAAAAGTGAAAAAATTCAATTACCTGAGAAAAAGTGTGCAAATAGCGTGAAGCATAAAGACAAAACGTGCACCTCATCCATGATTTTGTCCTCCATCATCGGTCGCCCAACTCCAAAGTTCCTCAGCACGTGCAGAGCGAACCGACGCTGTTCACGCCACTTTGGGCCATCCACTTGAACCACACCGTTTGCACCACCTGAACCATTGAAACTAACTTTCATAAACATCACGTATTACATATTTTACCGCGCAATTTTCCCTCAGCAAGATTATGAGCTACTAAAAGGCATCTGAATTCTCAGTTTAGAGCAACTAAAAGCGAAAATAGAATAGTGGTAAAAGTTAAAAAAAATATGAAGTAAAGTGAGGATAAGTGTGTATCCAATTTTTATAATAAGGCTGAAAAGATACTCCTTAACTTTTTTTACACAGCGGTTTCACTAAAAGCTCCAATGGAAATGTTCTGACTAGGGGACATCATATTCTTAGAAGCAAAACCATTGGAATATGGTATCCTCTATTACAATTGCTTCGCCATTATCGTGCATACTTATGCACTATGTCCCATTTATATCTTCATTATGAGCTTTCCTTTCAAAGCTAGGAAGAAACCTGGACGCAAGTCTTACCTAGTAAACTGTCTGTGACATGATTCCGCCACCTATCACTGAACAAATCCGCGTTTTGGACGAAGTATTTCTTGATTGACATAAAATCGCTGACCATTACCAGTGGAATAGGTCCAATCCAGACGGTGAATACGGAACCATAGCGTTTCTTCCAGATTTGAAAAACCTCATCTATTGATGAGCCTAGAAAGAAACTCCTGTAAAAACTCATTCTGCCGAAGGAAAACCTTGCGTTCACAATATGCAACTTTGTTCAGCGTTTAAAATACAGTTGTGGGTGCATAAATCATTCTTATCAAATGTTGCTTGCTACAAGATCTAAAATTTAGAGTTCTTGGTTTGTTTTCGATCAAATCCTATCTCTATAATACAGGCTGACTTTCCTAATCCTAGCTATTAATTTAGCTTTGCATTCTTCAAGTGAAATAATAGCGCTCTGAATATGGAGCTCAGATATTTCCTCAGGAAAAAACTTTGAAAATGCTTTTGGAAGCTTAAAATTGCAAAACCTCCAAACGGTTTACCGCCTCATCGTGGCTGGGAGGTGATCCTGGGTGTCGAGCTGCAATGTACAGAAGGGAGTTGTCCCGCCGGTAAGGTCTCCCAAGCCGAGAAGAATTCCGGCGTTCGCATCAGGAAACCTAGCTAGGAGTAAATCAATACCAGGATCCACCACCGTCCTGGTATTAAAGTCGTATCTTGGCACAGCAGACTATGACCAGGCTAACCTCGGGATTTCTCGGAACCATAATGGCTTAACCAACAAATCTCCGAAAAATGGAGATTATGCTGGAGCCTGCACAACCAGTGAGCAGACCACTCAAATATCAAGTATCAAGTATCAAGCAAAATTAGAAAGTAATGCTAATTTTATATTGCAGGTGACGATATCTTATTACAGTTACAATGTCCGAAACCAAATTTTCACCTAAACTTTTGATCTGATCGACCTTATTCTCAGAGAATTCAGAAGCACAGCTGATCAGCAGAAAAAGTGTCATACTATTCTATACATGCTTAAGTTTCTCATAGTGCTATGCCACATTAAGCACTATACAGTACATTTTAGGTAAAGTTTATTACTACAATTAAGGGCTAAGAGACATGGGTTATGAAAAATCCGCGCTCACACAACGTGTGTGATTTTAGGATACCTCGCAAGTGACAAAGTTTCTAGTTGACCAACAATATCCGACATCGTTAATATTAAGCAAAAGTCAACGTAAAGAGTGTTGGACTATGGTAGACAGCATTTCAATTTTACTGCATCCACTCAAAATAAGGGTAATAAAAAAAAGGAGCTGGTTTACAAGCGAAAACCTAGGCGACGACGTGACCTCTATAGGAGTCACACAATGCGAAGATGATGCTCCCTTTCAAATTGAAACCAGCATAACTCAATTCATAGTGCATGTTATTAATTGTAAAAAAAGCTTTTAGAATCTACGAATCGAAAACGATCTTGCAATCCAAAATACAAACGCGCAATTATGTGGAAAAGCGTGATTTCGTCTAGTGCAACACGGCGGTAAGTTAGGTTTGCAACTGCCACTGTTCCGTTGCAAATGGAAGACAATCAGGCTATTTTTTTAAAGCTTCAATTTTAAACATGTTTAAATTTGGAAGGATGCTTTACAAAAAAAATATTGGGGTGGTTGCGATAAAGGAAACCCTCTTCCTACAAACCTACGAAGTCCCGAAGTCCTGAAACACTCTAGTGATCGAGAAATTATCTGTAATTACTAACAGAGACCAGTATAATCACAGAAGCTTTTTGGAAGAAAAGAAAAAACCAACTGAATAGAATGTCGGGCATGTTGCCGGCGATCAGCCAAGGTGTCGGACCAGGTGGCAGATTTCGTCTTTTGTGTATCAGTTCGTATAAAACGTACAAAATCAAACACAGCAGTACAGAATAAACCTAAAAGTGCTAACATCTTACAGATCACACGTTCTGTATGTCAGCTGTAAACGCTAATAATCAACATAGAGCAGAAAATCATTCATCGCACTTTCTAAGCTATTATGGAATGTTTTTGTCAAGTCGTTAAGAGGTTCACGGAGCACTTCACTTCACGATGACTAAATGTTTCTTTTCGGATTCCACCGGCTTTGAAGTAATATTTTTGCTGTTCACTTATTTCCGGAATGGTTGCACTCGTATGGTGGTCAAATAGGATAGTAAATTCATGCTGATACTTAACATTTACTTACATACTGTACATTGATGGATCTGCGTTGTATATTTATGTAATTTCTACGACCGACTTTCTATTAACCTCGGCATTGATCACATAATCCTTAATATGCTTGTTGAGCAAACAAGAGTGTTATTTTATTCTTTATTTTCTAAAAAGCTGACGTTTCGGCGGATTTAGCCTTTCCAGGAGCCTGGAAAGGTCAAGTTGACCGCAATCTACTCAGGCAAACGATATTTATATGTTTAAACATATATGTAAATAAAGATTTGCACTTACATACTTATTTCACTGGCTGAAACGTTAATTATTTTAAACCGAAACGCGTTGAAAACCTCTTCGCAGTAAGACTTCAGAGCCTCTCGCAAAAGCGCAGAAACTCACCGTTGAAGGCCGAGATTAAGCAGCCGATCTTCAAATCTATTTGATTTTTCACTTTCCAAAATTCTATTCTAAGATTTCTATAAGTCAAAGTGGACACTAGGAGAATACAAAGAAAGTTTACCAGTACCTAAACCATGGATTTTTGCTACAGCTAATTGTGAAAATTTTACAGGTAAATCCGGTCTTGATTTCTTGATATTCTAAGGATATTTGTGTAAAATGTTCCGTTACACATTCACTTTCAATCCCTTAAGTCTTCCCAAGCACGATAACGGCAAAATTGTGCTTCCATTCTCGAAAAAATTAAGCCATTCTTACCAAAAAAAACTACTTTTTGGTGTCTAGCCGATATTTTAGGACTTCCTTTCCCCAGTCCAATACGGTCCAATACAGCATTGATTTTCCTGCCCGTTATCACGGGTAGTTCGCAGTCAGTGCGAAGTTGAATTACAGGTAGGATTTCTACAATTTGATTTCCACGGCGGCAAAATTCTGGGCATTTATTTACCCTTGGGTAGAATTGTGAGTAAAAATATGGAACTGTTTCACTGCTTCGGTAACTCAGATTCCGCTATGAACTTGCGATTGTAAATCGCATTGTAAACTCGAGCTGTGGAAACTATCGTCGAGCGGATGCAGCACACCATCGAGGTAACATTGCAAAATTCATTAAAAAACCGAAGTTTTGCGGGGAAAACATTAGAAAGGATAGCATCCCATTTTAAGACATGCGTAGGCGTGCGTATGTATTGTCTCATTTCACACTTTATGAATGTTACCTCCAGTGCAAGCCATTTCATCAGTTAATCAACCTGTGTCAGTCATTTAGTCAAGTCTCATAATATTTACATCAATGTACTTTTCTGCCATCATAACAGTTTTTCTAAGTGACTGGGCTGAATGTACTGAAATTACTGACTGTTGTCCCCGAGATTTCGTAGAAGCCGGTTTTCATAGACACATATTCACTTCTTCTGGAACTTCGTTCTTTTTTCAGTGATTCATCAACAATCCATCATGAATAGGAATACATGACAACGCAGTAATCCCAAAATAAGAGGAGCCAGTTCTATGTTTGTCAGGTGAGTCTTCCAGTAAAACCGATTTCTCCACAGATTCGAAGCAGTACTGACGAAAATTATGTGTCGAGACTTCCTAGAACCCTTATTAAACATTGTAATCGTTTACAAGAACAAAAATCTTACCTAAATTGAAGTCTTATTTTGTTTTCATAAAAATCCGTTCCTATTACACATTGATAGGACCATTTTTCTTCAATTTTTCATTTCATTTTCATTCCTCTGGGTAGAATTTGGGTCGTCGTGTGACCAGCGACAGATCGAGACTAATCGAAGGATTCGCTGCCGTCGAAGGAATTTTGCAGTCTTGGAAAATCCGAGTTATGAGGCAATAAATTTCCTTCCGAATGCACTCTACTGTGTCTGTCCTGGCACTTCAGAGCTAAGTGAGGACAGGAGACAGCACCCAAATCCATATCTGAACGGAACTACCTTTATGGGTGACGATTACAAGAAAACGATGCGAATGGAAGAAGTGCTGGGAACCGCACAACGTATGAAGATAGCCCATCTATGTGTCTATGAGCAATTGTGGATAAGAATAATACGCGTCAAACATTGTTTAGTTAGTAGTTACTCCAGCACTTCTTCCATTCGCTTTGTCCTCTTGGTATTGGTCAATGGTCATCCATCATCATATGCACGGCCACGGTTTTCATCAAGGTTGGCGTGAGAATTATACTGCGTCACCATTTAAATGGGGTCAACATCATCGTGTTACGGATTAGATTGGTATCAGTCCTCGTATCATCTCGTCACTACCTCCATTGCTTTTTCAAGACAATTAAGAAGTTTCTTGAACAATTTAAACCAGTCAAAAGCTTCCAGATCTTTGTTTATATTGGATCATACTGATTGGTGACTGATTTTCTATTTTTTGGAATGCTTCATATCCAGTCGAATAAATTCATCCAGGAATTAGTCGTTGTTTGTTAACTTGGGCTAACCTACTGCAGAACAATCGATTTCAGATGGGTTGCAGATTTCGGAGTAACTCAAGAAGTAATGCCTCACTATAGCTGTTTTTAGACTACAAATAAAAGATAAGAATAAAACTCACATTTAGAAGGAAAACTAGAAGGCGTAATATCTTTAGCAATAGGAATGCTCTGCATAGAGCACCGAGTAGGTCGCTGCAACACCAGCACTTTGGAACGTATGCCATCATACCATGATATTCCTTTCCAGCACAACCACCTGTGGTTAAATTCTTCCTTGAATTTGATGGGAAAAGACTATGAAAACTCATGGTAAAAAGCAAAATAGGACGAAATCGAAATAAACGGCCCAACGGATCGAAAATTCATTCGGATTCTCGCTTCGTTCCATTTTTGAGATAGTTGAACAGACGATTCGACGACATTTAGTGTTAGCAGAAGTATGGTAAAGTTCTTATGGAAATCTCTGAGCCCTATTAAAGGATGCAATAGTACGCCTAAAATAAACAGAAACTCATCGAGAGTTTAGGTCAGCCGTACAGATGTGGACAAATCCATCTAATGATAACAAAGATGACAAGGCTATCACTTAATAGCTGCAAGTTCATCTTT